GCATTTTAGGAGGTTTTTGTTCAACTCTCTACTCATAAAATCTACCTTTATATTTTAACCCTCTTTTATCACTCAACATCCTTTGTTAACTAATAATAACATATAAAAAAGAAGCAACAAAGAAACATCAGCCAAATTCCACACAAGGATTAAATAATCCAAAGGAGTGATGCTGTTTAAGTTAGTGCTACAAAATTTATTTCATAAATGAACTAAGGATCTTTGGTTTAATTTCAAAAAGCACTTTATACCTTGGTAGCTAGAAATGTACACTATTTAAATTTTGAAGAGTAATTTACGGAGATTTGATTAAGAAGAAAGACCAAGGTTGCTTGATTGTTTGTATTCATAAGCTTTTTCAAATAAATAAATTCCTGTAAATTATCAAAACATTGAAAAAAGGGAAAGTCTAGGGTTTTACATAACAATAACTGCACAAACATTTGTGTTTATATATATATATATATATATATATATATAGAGAGAGAGAGAGAGAGAGAGAGAGAGAGAAGAAAAGAAACCAAGTAATTAACCTTAGTTACCCTTTCTTTTCCTTTCGCAAGAGAACTCGATAAAGGCATCTTATTTTTCTCAGTAGAACTCAATGACTGCTTCTTTTGCTTCTTCCCACCAGAGTTTGATGAAGACATTTGCTTCTTCTTTTCAATCGATTCAGTTTCTGATTCTGATTCTCCCGATGACAACTATAAATAAAAACTGTTACATCTTTATCAATTTTAAGGTTTAATATGTATACATACAATTGATCGAGAAAATTAGGGGAAACAACTTCAATTTCTCGACAGGTCAATTAAAATCCTACACTATATTCCTACTGCATCCATGGTTTTGTGTGAGGGAAATGAAAAATGTCTTCTTTCCCTGCTCACTGATTAACACGGGTATAAGGATAGAGTGTAAGATTTTAGGGTCAAAAATATTTTTCCTACACCTAAATTAAAAAAGTTCAGAAAGGAAAAAGCATATATAAACAATTAAATGAACAATCTTAGTTATAATTAAGTTGAAAAATCAAGGAAATAAAGTAATTAACCTCTGTCACCCTTTCTTTTCTTTTTCCTAGAGAGCTTGTTGAAGGTATCTTATTCTTTCTAGTAGACCTCAACGGAGGCTTTGTTGGGTTTGATACAGACTTCATTTGCTTCTTCCCACGATACCTTGATGAAGCCATTCTCTTCTTCTCAACCAAATCGTCATCAGTTTCAGTTTCTGACGAAGAGATTGAAATGTTTGAAATTTGAGTACTCTTTCTTGCCATGGTTTCTTCGCTTCTCAAGGTTAAGAAATATTGTAAAATTAAAATGTCTTTACAGAGCAAAACACACTTTAAATATTCAATGCTATGAAAAAAATTGAAAAATGTGAGTTGGTAAAGAGATAGACACCATGCATGCAATGCCATTTGTCACTCCTCTTCATTCATTGGAAGGTATTACCTCCTTACCAACCTTGACAAGTGGAAATAACGTTTGTAAGTTACTAACATATTTGAAATTTTTTCATTATAATTTTATGCCTGATTTTTTAGAAATATTCATGGTAAATATATTTATTGACTTTTTGTAGTGTCATAAATGATAATTAAATAGAAGTATTTATTAAGCGAAAAATAATTGAATGCATACATTTGACTTTTAAGAGTATTTCAATTAAGTAATAAATATCGTAATATATTATAATATAATAATTGAAAGTAAAACGAATATTATTTTCTAAGGGCATGATAATAAAATAATTATTAAGTTCTTAAGTAAATATTAAATTTCAAAGGGTTTTTGAAATAATTCTCTTAATAATTTGAATATGGAAAACCTTCGAATATTTATTATTTTATGTATTAAATTAAATTATTGTCAATTAATATTTTCTATATATAAATATTGAGACTTTAGAGAATTGACTGAAAAATATGAACGTTTTTTTTACCTTATCTTCAAATAATACTTTATTAATTGCAAGACTTGTTTAAAAAAATTATAAATTTTACGTAAGATAATTGTGTTTAAATGTAAAATGTTAAAAGACTGTTTTTGTTTTTAAAGATCAAATTAGTAATGAATTTTAAGAAAAATTAACAAAATATATTTAATGCAATCTCTTTTTTAAAACCTAAGCAAGGGTTCATAATTTTTACACAAATACAAACTTCTCTAACCGCTCACCCATTTGGAGAGTATTTTTTGTAACCAAATATCTAAAGTTGATTAATATTATTTCATTGACAAATACTGACCAATAACATTTGTTAAAAAAATTAAAAATATCCATTGAAAAGAAAAATCAGCGTAAAAAATTATAATATTAAATACTGATATTTTAATTTACTAGAAATAGTTCAGAAAAAATATTAATAACGGAATATTAGAACTCAATTTGGACATGTAAAGTGAGATTCGTGTGTTGGTTTTTATTGCACGAAAGAAAAAAATAAAAAAAATGTGCAGAATTATAAGGAAAATGATTAGAAAAAAAAATTTAACTTTATTGAATAGTAATAATATATTTAAAATAACTAAAAAATAAAAAATAAGTATTTAACTGAAAATTGATAACAAAATTGAATAAAAAAATTAAATTATTCATAAAATGTAAAAACTTTTATTGACTACAATAATAATCTAATATACTGAAACAATAAAAAAACAACAGAGAATAATTTTCAAAACAACATTGTTAATACTTCTTCTTGTATTTTAAACTGTAAATTCTATTTTTTTACATTTTAAATTTGTTGATAAAAAATAATTTTTTGTCAAAAAAATATTTGTGTTCTTTTTTTGCTTTAAATTAGAATAAAATAAAATCTTATTTTGTTATGGAAGGTGATTCACAGTAACCAGTTATGAAAAATTTTTCACACTGCCAATTGAGTCACTTTAGTTATTTTAGAGAAATCAGTCAACTTGAATTATTCACTTCTCTTGAAGTTAATGCTTGAGTTGCAAGTGCCTTTGAAATATTTAACTTTTTTTGTCACCTTGAGATATCTTTTATTTGCATTATGCATGAAATTAGAAAACTTACTTTTAACTCTTAAGATAGTAGGGCAAAATGTTGTGATATTTTCTGCACATAAGAAAGTTGTTTGCTCCTTCTCCAATAGATTTAGAATAATTTTTTTTCTTTTCATGTTTACTTTGAAAATATCTTGACCAACTTCATTTCTAATCAAACAATGTTTGTCTTCAAAAATAACTTTAAATCTTCCTTCAATTAGTTGACCAACACTTAACAAATTTTGGTTAATTTCAGGAACCAACAAAAACATCACGAATTAATTTTATGCCTAAATAACTTGCTATTGCAATTGTCCCCTTTCTCTTGACTGAAATGAAATTATTATTACCTATTTTGACTTTGCTGATGTTAGTCGACATCATATCTCTAAAGAGTTTCTTGTTATTGGTCATGTGGTTAGTGCAACTACTATCAATTATATAACCTTTATTTGAATTAAAATCTGAGAAGCAAGTAACAACAAATAAATGATCTTTCTCTTGATTAACAAGCTTAGTCTCTTCATCTTAGTGTTAATTTTTATTTTTACATATAACTTCTTCATATCTCATTTGATTACTTCTACTGCATTATGCATCAGGCCTCTTCTAACATTTGAAGAAGGATGACCAATTTTTTTTACAATGATGACATGGAGGATAAGATTTCTTCTTGTTGTATCTTGCACTTTCATGATGTGTGGCATGTAAGGCTCCCTTAATAACACCTTCTTGTTTCATTGCACACCTTTACTCTTGTGCTTGTAAGGCATTTAAGAGTTCCACCAATGTAATTTTGGACTAGGTATTCTTTAAGGTAGTGATTGTAGTCTCAAATCTTTTGGACACTGTCATAAATTTTGTTTATAATTCTAGAATCAAGAAACTCAATACCTAGTAATCTTACTTTGTTAGATATGCCAAGGATCCTGTTTAAGTATATTTTGATTGTTTCAAATTCTTTCATTTTTTAGAGTTCAAATTCCCTTATCAAATTTAGCACTTGCATGCCTCAAATTCTTTCACCTTTAGCATATTTTTTCTCAAGATAATCTCAAATTGCTTTTATTGTTTTTAAAGTCATGATCTTGGTAAAGATAGTTGTTGAAATACCAACAAAAAGACATGATTTAACCTTTGCCTTTCGTGATTTTCTCTTCTTGTGACTTTATATTTGGGCCATGGTAGAATTATGTAGTAGCGAAAAAACTTCGTAATCCTTTTCAACAACTTTCTAAAGATTCAAAACCTCTAGATAGGTCTCCATTTTGATAGTCCAAAAATCATAATTTTCTCCATAAAAAACAAGAGAAACAACTTGTGAAAATTTTGAGTCAATATCCATATTCACAAGTTTGTAAGAAGATAGGTCTTGATATTGGTTATTGATTTTTATGGCACAAAAGAAAATATAAAGAAAAAAATTGTGCAGAATTGTGAGAAAAATGAATGAGAAAAAATTTAACTTTATTAAATAATAACAATACATTTATAATAACTTAAAGAAATAAAAACTAATTATGTAATTGAAAGGTTGACAATAAATTTGAATAAAAAAATTAAATTATTTCTAAAATGTAAAAACTATTTATTGACTATAATACTGATTTAATAAACTGAAATAACAAAAATTAGTTGAAAATAATTTTAAAAACATATTATTAACATCGTGATGGGATCAACTAACTCAAGATTACATGTAAATCTTATTATTGTTGTCAAAATTGAGATTTTATGTATGATCGATCAAGAGTAGAAAAATTGTAAATGTCAAATCATAAAACGGAATGTTCTTTCCTACTAAAGTGTAAAGTCAGACTTAATATATAGAATTGTAAAGGAAATAACATAGATAACGAAAAAAAATTCATAAACATTCATAACAAAACATAACTAAACAAAACAAGAATAGTCCAAGTGCAGAATTACAAAATCTAAAGGTAGAATTCTAGATATTAAGTCAAGCAACTAATCATTAATGGTTCAATTTTCATAATCATCCTCCGTTTCATCTTCATTGGTGGCATCTTCACCATCACAAATTTCATCATCCGCGACATCAGGAACTTCAAAATCATCCTGCAGCGGTGCACCACCATTAGCACTACCAGCATTATCATCTTCTCCAACTTGAATCAAATTTCCTTTAGCTAGAATGTCCATCTCCAAATCTAAGTTTTGATTATTTTCTACTATCCAGTCATCATCTGAAGGAATATCTTCAATGTTAAAGACTTCTTTCTTAGATTTCTTCGCGCACAATCTTGAATTTGCCATAACAAATACTGCATCATTTATTGCCTTTTGCTTAAGATGATTTCTTTTCTTTACATGGACCTAGACAGTTAGAAATCAATTAAAACATATTAATAGTATTTAATTTTTAAAAACACAATATAATTTATTTTATAAATTTAAAATTAAAATATTACCTTTTCAAAGACACTCCAATTACGCTCGCAACTAGATGAACTACAAGTCAAACTTAATATACGAATTGCAAATTTTTGCAATTCAGGATATTCATCACCGTAAGATTCCCACCATTGTATTGGAGTTTTATTTGTAAGACCAAGTTCAGCTACTCTACTACCAAAATATCCTGATCTGCTTTTGAAATCCTCAAGTTGGCCATCAATCTTATTTACTAGATGAAGGTCTCCACCTAGCCTTTCTAGACATTCATAAAGTCCATGTTTAACTTCAACATCAACCTTAAAATTAGAACTATAATGCAAAATCGGGTTCAAGTAGTAGCCTGCAGCATGCAAAGGTCTATGTAACTGGTTGTCCCACCATTCATCAATGATCTCCCATAAAGGCATATAACTAAAAATTGAAAAAAGGAATTGAATTAATTTAAAGTAAAACTATAAATTAAAAAATAATTAAAGAAATTGTGAGGAATAATATACCATTTCTTTACACCTCCGAACGCTTTTTCTATCCTCTCTTTAGCTTGATCCATTTCTTCGTAAACAAATCCCATAGCAGGTTTATCATCTAAATCTACCAATTGCAACACTTGAATTAAGGGATAAGCACCCTTCAAGCAATTCAAAATATTTTTCCAAAACTCCTTGTCAATCACCAAATTTTCAATATGCTTTCCCTCTTTGGTTTTTGCAACTTGACTAGATTTCCATTGTTCTGATGTAAACATTCTCATTAATGCTTCCTTATTTTCATTCAAGCATTGCAAAGTTAAGTATGAAGCAGCAAAACGAGTGATAGCAGGTCTAACAAGGTCCTTTCCATTAGTAAAATGATGCAGTAAGGAAATCAAAGTACTACTGGAATAAATATAAGTTGTAACTTTTTTACCAGTTCCAATGGTTTCCTGATGAAGGGGTAACTTCTTCTCAAAATCCTCCAAAATTAAATCAATGCAATGTGCTGCACAAGGTGTCCAATAAAGATTTTTCCTTTTCTCCATCAACAACTCTCCAACTGCTTTATAATTTGCAGAACTGTGTGTGATAACTTGGACAACGTGTTTTTCACCAACTTCTTCAACAACATCATCTATCATCTTGAAAAATTGATCTGTCGTTTTAGTGATGATAGATGCGTCAATGGACTTTAGAAAAACAGTCCCCATGGGACTATTTACAAAAAAGTTTAGTATAACTTTTTTCTTGTCTGTCCATTCATCTGCTATGATAGTGCATCCTGATTTCTTCCATACAGCTCTATGTTTCTCCACAACTTGCTTGGTTATCTCAAGCTTTTGCTTCAAATACTTCACACTAACTTCATGGCAGGAAGGTGGCTTGAATCCTATACCATTTTCAGCAATCAATTCACACATCTTGTGAAACTCTTCACTTTTTACCACGTTGAAAGGAATGGCATTGTTGTATAAAAAAGAAGAAATTGCAAGGCACGCCTCCTCCCTCAGACTAGTCTCGGAAATAGAATCGATAGTATCCTGAGAGCTTACACCTATCTTGTTGAATAGATCTGAAGGATTCTGTTCTTCATGCATTTTCCTCTTCCCAGCAGCATCTCGAGATACATCATCTCCTTTTGATCCTCTCGGGTTTGCCTTCTGAATTGATTTTTCTTTCTTTGAAGTGACAACGTCCCACATCTGCTTCTTGACATCATCAGGGACAAAAATGCAAGGTACAACATCCTTCTTTATTCCAGCCAAATGGTGCTTAAATCGATAAACCCCACCTGTGATCTCTTTCTCACAATACTTACATTTGATTTTTCTTGAATCCCCGTCCACGGAAACACCATGTGTCCACCCCACATCACGCCTCACTCGAGTTGCATTTTTATTCTTTCTGGATCTTTCCTCATCCACATGAACAACATTACTTCCAGTAGCACCACATTCACTTCCACCAACCCCAGTACCATCACCAGCAGTACAACCTTTTGATGCCATTTTTTTACGCTACAAACACACCCACAGATAAAGAGAGGGAGAGAAGTTGACAACACTAAGTAGAGCCTCCTGACCTGCGATCTGTGTTGCGACTTCACAAAACAGCTTCCCTATGGTACGAGTTGAAAGGCTGCAACTTGAACTGAGAAAAAGAGGGCCAAAGTTGGGTGAAAGAGGATTAAGACGTGAGAGAGCAATGAGTTTCAATTTGGGGAAGATAGGTCAAGAGAGTCAAGAAATGAAAGTCCAGAGACCAGAGTCAAGTTTGTATATTAAAAACTAGCTATTTTATTACATTAATGATAAATAAATTAATAAAAATAAAAATAAATTCACATCATCTTTTATTTATATAATATATTAAAATTTTAAAATTAAATTCACATTGAAACTCGTTAAGATTGAAATGACCTTGGAATTAATTTTATTAAATATATTTTTAATATAGCATATCAATATTTAACTTTTACTTAAAATTAAACTGAAATTAAATTTAATAATATTGAAAAAATTGAATAATTCTAAATAAAATAAAATAAAATATTAATTATGAAAGAAATCACGTCAAATAAAAAAATTAACTAATAAAAATATTTTAATTTAAGAGTAATGAATTAAATTTACAACACAAATGAAAACAATTACAAGATTTAAATATAAAAGTGTTAAGAACTTAGCCTTTTTAATACACACTTAATTATTAACAAGAATTTGTTAAAAATCATAAAAATTTGAGAAAAAATTATAAACTTAGAAATAAAAATTATTGTATTAAAAATATGACTCACGCAATTTTTATAATTTTTAATAAATTTTTAATGAATAATTATAAGTGTGTTAATTAGATATTAAAAAATATCCGGTTAACGTTTCTCTTTAAATATAATGCTTTTATATCAAAATCTGAATGAAATTTTAAATCTTGATAATTCATTCAATACATCGTCAAAGTGCTTTAAGTAAACTAGTATTGGTAATATTTTATTTTCGTCTTATTTTTAAAAACATTAAATGATTTAAATTTTTTTATTTAATACTTTCTTGCTCCATTTAATGACAAGGATTTTAGTAAAACAAGAGGATTTAATATTGCTCCAATTACAATGTTTGAATTTTTATTTTTTTTTTTGGCAATTTATTTTATCATCCCCTATGTTTCTTACTTACGTGAAAAAAATTGTCATAAATTGGGTGTTAAGTTTGCTTTTATTGGTATATAAATCTATTTAGTAAGACATTTTAGTCAGTTGAATGTTTATTTTATTAACGGAAAATATTATTTGATAAAGTAGCTACGGTAAAAAAAAAAGTATTATTTAATAATCACTAACATTTATTTTATTTTATTTTATTTTATTTTGTACTTATATTTTTTTGGTATAGCTGAAAGTGTTTTTCTTTTCATATTTATCTTAATTAATATTATTTTTAACTAATTCATGTTTTATCAATTCTTTAAAGAAAATACATCATAAATAATAGAAATTAAATAAGTTACAAAACTCATTATTTTAAAATATAATAAATTATTAATATCTTGAGAAGGATTTAACAAACTTATGAAATTTTTTTTTATAACAATATATGTATAAATGAGGGTGAAATTAAAAAGCTATTATTTTAATTTGAGGATGATATAAATATATAAAAATTATAATTTATTTGAAAGCCAACTTAAACTCAGTAAAGATACAAATTTTACTTAAGTATCTCAAGATTTATTATTTGAAAGTAAAGGGGGTTCATGAGAGGGTATCACAACTTACATCGCAGTTTAGTGGTGCAATGTAGCTTTAAATTATCATAATTCCTAGTCTTGTTGGGCACTAATTAATAACAGTTGGTGAGTTAAGTTGAATTTTGGCTAATATAGTGCACGGAATGCAATGTTCTTTTACTGATCTTCTCTGAGCTTTTGTCATTTGAGGTTTATAGTGCAATGTGGAATGGAGAGGTATATATAAGAATTTATGGTGATGTTTGGAATTCTTTGGTAGCAATTCAAAACATGGATTCCCTTGGGATTTTCTTTTAAACGATGCTTTACCAGACATAGGTAGGTTAAATGTGTATTTCTTAACCATCCCTTTTGGATAATTCAATTAGCAAAACAATTCACACTAGTTTTTAGGCATGTAAAAACATAACTTTATGTTCGAATATATAAACATGCTATTTTTCTATCCATAGATTCTTATTTGTAAGAATAAAAATTGTAAAATAGTTTTTATATCCATAAATTCTTAATTTTTTATTTTTCTTTAAAATCCTTTCATATTACTCATGAGAACAAGTTTTAATGATGAAGTCCACACATTATTTTGCGCACCCAAACTGCAAACCCAATAATCAAATATTTTTGTCATATAGTATAGAATATTGCAATTTTCCACCACCTAATTTAAGGATTACTTTCAACTACATATACTGAAATTAAAGTATCTCAATTTCTAAGGATAAAATAGAATTGTATCAGATAAACCACTATTTCTAACACAGACAAATTCATGATAATACATAAACCACAAAGGTAAACTATTCACATGCAGTACAAAAACCAAGTCACGAATGTGAAATATCCAAAAATAGTTCAAATAACAAGTCAGATAATTGAAATATTCAAATATGCAGTTTAAGTCCCATAGTAAAAGTATTTTAACCCCAAGGAAATGCTTAAATCCCAACGTTGAATCAATCTTCTTCTAAGATGCTGAAGAAGAACTTGCACCGCGAACATCTGTTTTAAAAAACATTAAAAATAACTAACTGAATAAATGTGTTGATTAATTAATTACACAAAGTATAGAAAAAGTAATAAGACAAAAGTAAGCATTATTTTTTCCTTGTTAGCAAGAATTTTCTAAAATTTCTAGGAAATCTGTGAGAACAATATGCTGAAAAGTTAATAGAAAAGTTAAATTCAATGTTTCAAAATAGCCAAACTCACTTTTGTTTGTTTTTCTAGTACTCTTCATTTCTTTTGTCATTTGATTTCCTTTTACGCTGAGGAAGAATTCCACGTAACTCATATCTCTCAACTTCTTTCAGAGATCGAAAGGAAAGTTTATCATTCGTTTTATGAATATATTTCTGCAAAACACCAATTTATTAATGTCGTTGTAATTAACATTCACGTAAATAGACAATGCAGATAAGAAATATCTATAACATTCAAATTTCTAAATTGCGATTTCATTACAATAGCATTGCGATATGCATGATCATGAAGAATTATGAATTATGAATAAATGTAGTCACAATTATAATTGTAAGGACATCAAAAGCATCAAACTTACAATTACATTTATAGTCACGGAACTCTAATTTCACACAATAGTAACACTATATATGAATCAAGATAGTGAAAGCAGAAATATACAATAATATTGTGATATATTTTCGTTGTGTCATTTCTTTCAATAAAGGGAAGTATTTATGCAATTTTCCATTTACTACATATGAATGTTGAACATGTAAAATGTTTTTCTATAAGTAAATTACCAACAATTCTTTGCAAATTAAAAAAAAAAAATGTGATGAATGAGAAATTTTATAGACAAACATAAAAAAAAAATCATATTAAATTTGACCCCATACCTTGTCTATCTTTCCACTGATTCTCGTTGTAGGTCGCATGACATAATTTTCCATCCAAATTGGTACTGGCGTATGATGCCTTACTTCTCTTGAACATGAAGATGATTGCCTCCCTGGCCTTGTGTTCTTATTGGACTGGAACACAGAAAGAATTTGTAAAATACATATGGTTGAAAAAATATATACAAATGGTTGAAACTAGATTGAATAAAATCAACATAGACATTAATTCAGAGAATCTATAACAAGACAAAAAACACGATTGAAGTTTATTGAAACAATTGAAGTCTACACGATCAAGAAAGAATTAAAAATTTCAAAATGAAATATTGCATACCTGTTTCTCACGGGACTCTGACAATAAAAGCTTTTCATCAAAGAAAATAAACAACAATGACTCCCAATTTAAATATGCTGGAAACCAAAAGTAGGACTGAATTTGGATCAAGTATAGTAACAACAAAAATTGACTAATATTAACAAGCTAGATAGATTTAAAATAATGTTTGAATTCTATTCTATATTTGATGTCTTTTGAAACAAGAATGTAGTAGAATATAAAGTGAAGTGATGCATGTTGATAAATAACAAGTTGCGTGAGATCAAGGATAATAAAGTAAAATAAATACATTGTTATATTCTATTTTCCATTGTTATATAGTTTATTAGTTCAATTCAAATTTCAGTAGTATACAAGCTCAATAAGAAATCTTTTGGAGTCCTACCATTAAGAGGAGACAAGAATATAGATTTCTTTCTATTAATAAGGAAAAACTATATTTAAGAGAAAGGAGTACGAGAGGGCATTCTGATCCATTACATAATCTCAAATACGAATCCCATTTGAAAGTTCCGTTCATTTAGATCAAATCAAGCAGGTTTTTGGGTACGAATTGGTTCAACTCTCTTCTCATAAGTTTCACCTTTTTACTTTAACGCCCTTTTTTCACAATATTCATTCTTAACTGCTAATAATAATAATAATAATATTATAAGCAACAAAGAAACATCAGCAAATTTCCACACAAGAATTTAATAATAAAAAAGAGTGATGCTATTTAAGTTACTGAGACAAAAATTAGTTTATAAAAAAATTAAGGAGCTTTGCATTAATTTCCAAAAGTAAAATTTATCCTATGGTAGGTAAAAATGAACATCATCTACATCTTTGTAATTTTCAAATGAAATGTACAGAGAATTGATTAAGGACGAAGACCAAGATTTTCTTTGTTGTCCGTATTTGCAGTTTTTTCATACAAAATTCCTATAAATTAAAAAGAACTATCTCTTGTATTTCATCCAAAAAAAATTTTACTTATCAAAAAACAAGAAAAGAAAAGAAAGATCATGGCTTTATAAAACAAGAGTTGAACAAAAGTTGTAGATAGAAAATTGCAAAAGAA